AAAAAAAAACCCCTCCTTATTATCAGGGCAGTCAGTCCTGCTGGTGACTCATTCAGACACATTCCCCAGGGGTTCAGTATTGTGATGGATCTCTTGTCACAAAGCTGTCAGCCTGTCTGTGTTTGTGTTTGTTTCATAGCTAGGGCACACGAGCAAGTGATTTGTTTAGTAGCATTGCAGACAGAGGAGAATATCACCACTCCTATTCATTAGCATGCTGCAGTGTGGAGAGAGAGCAAGCTGCTATCAGATCAGGGAAAGCCATGGCTGGAGAGCAGAGAAAAACATAGTTATGGATAAATCTTAGCAAGTGCAGAAATGTGGACTGGGGGCAGCCAAAATGCCTCACAAATTGGTGTTATTTTCAAAGATAATCAGTGTATACAAGTCACTCCTTAAATAAGAAGCTGATAAGAAATGTAAAAATAGGAAATATGATTAAAGAAGTGTGCAATGATATCTTGGCTGTTTTATGTGTTTTGTAATGACTTGTTTTGAAATAACTAATGACGGATAATAAAATAAGCCAAAAATTAAGAGCTGGTTGCAAAAAAACAAAAAAACAAAAAAAACCACCATTCACCAGCTGTCCCTCTCCTGTGTGTGTGTGTGCGTGTGTGTGTGTGTGTGTGGGGGGGGGCACTGAAGCACATGTGGTGGCATGTGTGTGCTGTGTTTGTGTGTCTACAATATCAGTGTGAACTGTATGTGTGATGTATAGCAAGCTGGGCAAAGAGAGATGTTAAATGATCGTTTCTGCCTGCGTCAGCAGTTTTGTGGGGTGGAGGAAAGATGAGGGGGAGAGAGAGAGAGAGGGAGAGGAGAAACCAAGAGAGGAAGAGGGAGAGAGCAATATCAGTAAACAGGTGCCAGCTCCATGCTCGCTCTCACAGTGTACATGAGAAGCTGTTTTTACTACAGTAAATATAGTGCCCTTTGTCTTTTATTGTATGCAAAACTGTGAGAGGAGATTCAAGGAGAGGGAATCAGGAACTCACAATAGCCAGTCAAGCAATGATGGGGAATTTAGACATTTAATGCTCCCAGCATCATTCTTATATACAAAAGCATACTGCACCAACATCCTTGCTTGGGTACCAATTCTGTCTGCTGCAGCGCCTGAACAGTGGAGAGGGAGGAGGGAGCAGAGAGAGAGAGAGAGAGAGAGAGAGGGAGAGAGAGAAAGGGAGAGAGAGGTAAACAAGTAAGAGGCAGCTTTTCCCTCATGCATGTTTTAGTTTTTTAGTTTTTTCTTTTCTCTGGTTTCGTGGACTGTGTGTATGTTTATGAGTGATGGTGTGATTGGCTGTGGGGACGACGGGTTCGCTGTGCAACCTGGTGATCCTACACAGATGGATACGCAGCAGGACCAGGAGACACTGAGAAATTAAATGCTGGAAAAGGAAACGAAATCAATGCAATGTGAGGAGGAAGAGCTGACTTTGATTTAAAGCAGCTCAAGCTATTTCTTAACTGACTGTCAGTTCATCCCTTTTTAATCTTTGTTGACGCGCACATGTTAGTGTGTGTGTGTGTGTGTCAGGGTGGGTGGGTCGAAGCAGTTTCACAATACATTAAAGCAGTGAACAGAAGAGAGATGTAGGGAAGGAAAACAACTGAAAAAGAAGGAAAAGCTGTTTGTTTGCTGTTATCCTTTTCTTCTCCACAGAAACGAATGGAGACCAGAAAGGAGGAGAGCAGAGGAATTGAACGGAAGAAGTGAGAGAGCAGGAGAGTGCAAGCATCAAAGCAGGAGGGAGAGAGAGAGAGGGAGGGAGAGCGAAAGAGAGCTGCGCTGCAGTAGCATCCCACAGCAGACGGATGAGGACTGCCGGTGTGTTTGTGTGTGTGTGACTGCACTGCTGAAGAGGAGGAGGAGGCAGAGGGTGAGCACGCTCGCACACTTTGCAGGGCCATAGAGGAGCACACAGCGGCAGCGCTAGTGTTGGCCCACGCCAGGTAAAGTGCCAGTGCCGTCGACCCGCAAACCACTGCTGTAAGATCTGGACACGCCAACGCCACCGAGACCCCGACTACCAACGCCATGGCACAAGCGGCCAAACATCTTCGTAAGAACAAGGATTTAGAAGCTCTAGCAGAGCAGGAGCGCAAAGAGAAGGAGGAGGAGAGGGCCAAAAAGAGGAGTCGGTCACGGGATAAAAAGCGCAAGGTACTGGGATATTCACAGGTGGGGTAGTCAGGGGTGGGGTGGGGCGATGGGGTTGGCGTGAGGAGGGGAGGTGTAGCCTGGAGAAGGGGGCAGGAAGGTTGAGACGCCCCCCTCACTTCTTCTTGTTCTTCTGTCATGCTATGGTCAGGGGTGCTGGGGCACACATGGAAACCTGGTGATGAGCGTGTTTCTACTGTGTGTACACAGTCTCCCTGCACACATGTATGTCCTGTGCATACAGACACAGGGAAACGGTATAACACACTGCATGCTTTCCTACTCCTCTGGACTGCTTTATACCTGCTTTATTGACTGTCCTGTCTGAGCCGTCTGATAAGGCAGAGTAGTACTCTATCTCTCACTGTGTGACAGTCCCTCTTCACATTTCTGTCTTGTGCTCCGTCTCTTCTTTTTTCTTTGTTTTTTTTACACTGCAGTAAGGTATTAGTGAGCAAAAATCTGACTAAAGTGCTGATCTTCCATGAGGACCATAACCTGCCTGTTTTTCCAAAAGCATGTTCTTGTTTTCTGTCCATTATTTTCTCTGTGTGGCACTGTAATTACTGCAGAGCAGTACCTGCAGGCTTCTGACTGAGAAGGACCAGGCAGAGCTGGCAAGGTTCGTTGTAAACAATAAATCTTTGCTCCGCCAGTCACCGACTGCAGAGAAATATCATCCAGTCTACTTTATGCCTCTGGTTGCTTGTCGCCTTTTACTCAAACTCATTAATGCAAATGAGTCATCCGCAGATTGTGTATTGATGGCAAATTGGTCCTCGGTAACCGAGTCCAGCCGCCCTGTGAGCCAGCTCTGTGCCAGGCTGGCTGTAAACCAATCTGATGCTGATGCAGTAGAGACAGGAACACAGTACAGCTTCCACTCTCCCACAGAAGGAAGACAGGACTGTAAGGCTGATATACGGATCCGATTTTTCTTTCTTTTTTTTGTGTGTTCTATACAGGTAGGGTGACAAGGTTATTAGGTGTATTTGAGAAAAAGACACAGAGGAAAACAGAGAGAGCTTTAAGTGAATGGAAGGTGGTATGACTCAGATACACCTGGGTGGTTTTCTGTCAGCAGGGGCTCGCTATTTAACTGTTTTTGTTGGAGAGTCAGACTCGTTGCACAGACACACACGGCACCACGTAGCCTGCAGTGACTGATGCAAAGGAATGACTCTGGAGTTAAAGTTTCATCACATTCTTCACCTGTTTAACTCATCAAGACCGCACAGGGCTACATGTGTATATTTACACAGCCTTTGTACTTAATAGCTACACACGGACATTACAACCAGAGGGTGAATGCCAGTGCACAGATGCCTTTGTGCATGTCTAGTATGTGTATGTGTGTGAGTGAGTGCAGCGTATGCATGTCTGGAAGGATGAGGTTTAAGAAGAGAGAGCCTGCAGCTCTAACCGTTGGACGAAACATGGGCGAGATGTCTGACGGTGCTAATGCAGAATAACTTTGACTGAAAGAGTGTAGTTTCAGAGGATCCCATATCACTTACGTAACCATGCAGCTTAAGTCTTTCAAATAAGCTTCCTCACTCCTTTCCACCTCCCCTCTCAATCTCTCTTCCTTTTTTAAACACCGGCTTATAGCATTCCTGGTTTCTGGAACAGATGTTAACACTGGGGAAATTCTCTTCTCCCTTCATCTTCCTTTGTTTCCTTTCTGATGCGTGTAGCTACCTCTTCGGTTTCTGCACTCTGTAATACAGTGAGTGTTATTCCTTATCCCACTTTGTAGCTAACAAAGAAACCAGCCAACACCTGTTCTTTTTTTTGGTGGCTCAGGAGTGCTTCTATCCTTGCTTTGTACAGAAGGTCAACTCTTTGTGGCAGGACTGCATTTTTTATTTCTGAACATTCAACACTCATGAATGATCATCATATTTTTCCGGCTGCCTTTAAGCAAGAGTTTGGGGGCAATTTAATCAAACATTTGTTTGTATGAAAACTCACTCTTAGCTTCTTTGATTAAGGAGTGATTCAGTTTATGGTGTAAAGGATCATTTATTGTTCTTTGGGTATTTTTACTTTAATAGATGGAGTACAAAGCTCTGAAAGGGAGGCAATGTTCACTGCTCTTTGGGTACATTTTGAGTCTACTGAGTATAATTGCATCAGTTTTTAGCAACATTTATTTATTTGTCTTTAAAAACATAACTGTTATATTTATCTTCCGTGTTGGTTCAATTTTTAGATGTTTTGGGTGGTTTGACGTACGTTGACCTTAATGATTGTTCCCACCGTGTCCCAGTGAGGACACAATGATCTGTCCTCGTCATTAAAGGGTGAAAGTGCATTTTTAACTGGCTTCTCAGTGTAGTGG